AACAACAAACCTCAGTTAATTTAAAACCTCAAACAAACTAAAAACACTCTTGACAGTTTTAGAAAAATTTACATTAATTTTTTTTTTGAGAAGTTTTCGCTATAGGGTGCTTGCACTTGCCAGACAGACAGAAATCGAGAAATCACCCCCCACCCAGGGGGGATGGCCACACCGCAATCCCTTTTCCTCCATTCTCCTCTTGGGATCTTGGGCATGCACGCACACGCACCCAGCCTGAGTTTAAAGCAACTGGGGACGCGAACCACGGTCGACTATGTGGGAGTCCAGCGACATAGCCATTACGCTAACTGCTGCCCCCCCACACAATTTTTTTTTAATTTTTAGAAAGAATTAACTGTATTTATTTATTTATTTTAGTTTGATCAGAGAGATACAGAGCAATAGAGAAAGTGAGAAAGCAAGCCACCAGGTCCAGGACTTGAACCACAGTTGGCCATGTGGGAGTCCAACACCCTTAATCACCATACCACCTGCTGGACCAAAGAATTATTTATTTTTAATTCCATTTGTCATTACTATTATTTTCAATTTGATCAGACAGAGAGAGAGAGAAAGGGAAAGCAAAAAGGCAAGCTGTCCACTCTGGGACTCAAACCATGGTCAGCCATGTGGGAATCCAACACCTTTAACCACCACGCCACTTGCCAGCCCCAGGAAAATTTACAATTATTTAATAATAATAAAACTTTTCACAAAAATCTCCAGGTACAAGATTAGAAGTAAAACATGGATATACTTGGGCTGGCCCAACTACATGCCCAATTTCATGGTTTGTATCCTTGTAGCTCTGGAAACATGTTAGGTCTGTGTGTGTGCATGCCCCCAACCCTGAAAGAAACAGAGAAGAGACTGCGACATGACCATCCCTGTTGGGGCTGTTTTCTCACTTGCTTTCTGTCTCTCCAGTGAGCACACAAACCCTATACCAAAAATCTCTCTTTAAAAAAAAAAAAAAAAAAGAACATGAACACATTGTATTTAGGGTTATTTTCTAAAAAGTATATTTAAATATTGAAATAGAAGGTTATGTGTGATGAGAACCTTAACAAACCCATTCATTTCAAACACAGCTGTTCAAATAGAGTTCAAGAACTAGAAAGCCTAAATATCTGAGTTGGCCGGTTTGGTTGTCAGTCCACTAAGAAGAACGCACAATACTGTGTTCCTGACTTCCATAGCTCCAGCCTTCGGGCCAGATACTAATATGCTGACACAGGTTGCACGAGCACTTCACTCCTTGTAAACCTGTCATTACTGGAACCATTTCACTCACGGAAATACATCAGCCATCTTTATTAAGATAAGTAACTGTTAGCTAGCGAATAGAAGTTTAGCTAGGGCCAGCATGTGGCATGAGGGTTAAGGAGCCACATGGTCAACTGGTTTGAGCCCCAGACCCTGTAGTTTGATCCTCATGCTTGCCATGTGAATATGCATACCCAAAGTCCCAAGACAAGGTTGGAGGAGAAGGGACTCCCTCCACTGTGGCCATTGCCCTTGAGGGGTGACTTCTCACTTTTACCCTTTCTCTCTTCAGTGACAGCACTCACCCCTTGGCAAAAACATAAAGGAAAAAATGTAGTTTACCTAAAGGGCAATGATATTTAACAAGCAAAAATAATTATCAAAGAGAATGCTCACATTACATGTTACCTTAGTCTATATTATTTTTATTATTTTCAAATTTTACTCATTGTCATTATTTTATTTATTTTTAAATTGACCAGAAAGAGTAAGAGAAGGAAAGCGAGAAAGTAAGTTGCCAGGTCTGGATCTCAAACCACTGTCAGCCATGTGGGAGCCCAGCCGCCTTAAGGACCACACCACCTGCCAGTCCCTCTTTTTTAGTTTATCCTCCATGTGTGCTCACCAGGGGTAGAGAGACAGTGAGAGGGAAGGCAAAAAAGCAACTCCCTGGGGAGGCGGGGTATGGTCACAATGCCACAACTTTTTCCTCCCCTCTCCAGAATTTTGAGCAAGCATGCACATGTGACGGTGTGATTTTTCAGGACTCAAACTGTGATTGCTACTGGAGTCCAGAGCCTTCACCCCCATGCCACTTGCTGGCCCCACCTTAATGTGTATTATTTAAAAATATATTTTTAGCACTGTCTTGGCAGATTAGAAAATACTTCTGACAATTACAGAATCTGAAATTAGGTTATATTTTATCATTATTACTACTATATGCTAGAAAGCAAATGTGCTCACCAGAGACAGAGAGGAGAAGCATTCTCTATGAAGAATGGTTATGGGAAGCAGCAGTTAGCATAATGGCGATGTCGTTGGACTCCCACGTAGTCAACCGCGGTTTTCTTCCTGGACCCCGTGGCTTAAAACTCACGCCGGGCGCGTGTACATGTGTGCCCAAGATCCCGAGAGGAGAATGGAGGAGAAGGGATTGCGGTGTGACCATTCCCCCGGGGGGTGATTTCTCGCTTTCTGTCTCTAATATCTCTCTCTGTCTGTCTGGCGAGCGCACGCACCCTATAGCACAAATCTCTTCAAAAAAAAAAAAAAAAGAATGGTTATGCTGCAGTTCCATCTCCCTTCTCTCCTTTCAGGATTTTGGGCACACAAGCACATAAGCCCAGGGTGTTCCTCAAGACATTAGGCCTCGGAAACCAGCAGTTAGCGTAATGGCTATGTCGCTGGCCTCCCACATAGTCGACTGCAGTTCGTGTCCCGGACCCGGTGGCTTAAAACTCACACCAGGTGCGTGTGCGTGCGTGCCCAAGATCCCGAGAGGAGAATGGATTGTGGCATGACCATCCCCCCTGGGGGGGGATTTCTCGCTTTCTGTCTCTATGTCTCTGTCTGTCTGGCGAGTACACGCGCCCTATAGTGAAAATCTCTCCCAAAAAAAGGAAAAAAAAAAAAAGCAATTAGGCCTAGCACAGGAACTATGTGGGGTCAGCCATGTGAGATCTGGCTGCCTTAACCACCAGGCCATGCAGCTGGTCCTTGGCCAAAATTTCAAAGATATGAAGATGGGCTGGCAAGTGGCATGTTGGTTAAGGGTGCTGAACTCACACGTGGCCATCCATGGCGAGAGTCCTGGACCTGGCAGCTTCTTTCTTGCTTCATCTCTCTCTCTCCTCCTCTCTCCCTCTCTGGACAAATTAAAGCTCAATAAAAAGATTATTTAAAAAATATGTAAAAGATCTAGATTCCTATTACTAAATAAGGTCATCATAACAAGACAATTGAAGAACTACTATTACATTACAGCCATGAAACACCACTTCAGTGGCTTTTAGCAAAATAGTATAATCAATAAAAGTTGAGTTATCACATTAATTTAAGGTGACGGCTGTTAAAAAGGCAGAGATTCATTTGACTTTTCAATTTCTGCCTTAAAAAGAAATATTTAAGAGAAATAGACTCAATAAAAATGTCTTAAAATTGCCCAGTCAATTTCCACTTTAAAAATCTTAAGCTATAGGCCAGGAGGTGGCACGGTAGACTCCATCTTCACTGTGGCTCGAGTCCTGGACGTGGCCACTTACTTTCTCACTTTCCCTCCCTCCCTCTCTGTCTCACTCTCTCCTCCTCCGATGAGCATGAGTGCCCTGTAGCAAATTAAAAGAATGATAATAATGATAAATAAATAGAATGAAGGGAAAAAAAAACACCTTTAACTGGGGGCCAGCAGGTGGCATGGAGGTTAAGGCAGCTAGAACCGACAGAGCCAACTCTACCTCAAGTCCTGGACCTGGCGGCTGGAAAAAAAACACTGGGCGTGAGTGAGCGCATGCCCAAAAATCTGAAGAGGAAAATGGAAGAGAAGGGATCGCAGCATGACCGTGTCCCCTGATAGGGGTTATTTTTCACTCTATCTCCCTCTCCCTGGTAAGAACATACTCCCTACAGTGAGAAGGAAAAAAAAAGGCGGGGGGGAGACCAACAGTTAGCGTAATGGCTATGTTGCTGGACTGTCACGTGGTCACCCATGGTTCGTGTCCCAGACCCGGTGGCTTAAAACTCACGCTGGGCATGTGTGCGTGCGTGCCCAAGATACCGAGAGGAGAATGGAGGAGAAGGGATTGCGGCATGACCACCCCCTCTGGGGGGTGATTTCTCACTTTCTGTCTCTATGTCTCTCTCTGTCTGTCTGGCGAGCACATGCGCCCTATAGCGAAAACCTCTCCAAAAAAAAGAAGGAAAAAAAAATTTAAAGAAAGAAATTTTAGCTGGGTTTGATACTCAGATACATACTCAAGTTAGGCCACAACATGCCCACTGTCTTGGTATTTTTCTGTCAATAACTGCCTCTGACACTAAAAGAATTAAAATAAAATCCCCAAATCATGAATCATTATCTTCTGGCTATCTACCCTTGTTTTATAGATCACTTCCTAAAAAAACCCAGCTGAATGGGCAGCATGTAATATAATAAAAAATTAAATAGTAGTCATTAGACATACACCACCTGGAGGAAGGAAACCAGTACTGCTTTTTAATAATTTTATTTTTTTTCTACTTGTGTTACTGTAATTTCCCATAGCACCTTGGCAATGTTGAAAACAAATACAAATACAAGGATGCACTTATTTTAACATTTTATGCATGAGCATGTGTCACACCATTTCGGGGGGAACGGTTTTGACAACAGGAACAAACCTAAGCAATGGACAAAACAGAAGTCAGATAACTGGTTCTGACTCCCACTTCCCAACATTTCAGAGATGTCACTCAAAGGACATCTGAATCAGGTTAAAAACAAAAAACAAAAACAAAAACAAAGAAACCAAAGTTGATGTGCTATTTACTTACATATACTAAACAGTGTTCTGTGCTGCAAAACGGAAAACCAAACCGCTTCATACATAGTCTGTTGATAACTGAATTATTGCACTTTTAGGAACTGTCTAATCAAAGATGCATAAAATGTTTTTAGAAGTAAACTTTTAAATTGCTTAATTACAGGTCAGTTTTAAAACAATTTATGCTCAACTTGAAAGCAAAATTTTTTCAACTTAAAAAAGCCCTCAAATCAGCTAATAAAATGTCTACGTATCCTTTTAGAAGCTCAGAACAGCTATATTAGCATATGCCAAAGGTCTAAAGTTAAATTAATGGCCATGGAATTGTAAGGAAATACAAAAACTTAGGGGAAAAACATCATATTATAGTCGAGAATTTATAAAAACCCCTCAAAAGGAATATACTGTCTGCTTAAGAGTTTATGTTTTCTTTAAAAAACTGGTACTTTTAAAATATGGTTAATGTATACTGCCAACACAAAACATCAAGAGATCTAACCCCAGTGTTGTTCAACTGCTTCAAAATAAACCAGTAGACATTTAAGCCAAGAGACTAACTATTAAGGCCATAACTAGTAAGACTATAGAAAGTGTTCTACAACTTTTAAATACTAGTTTCTGCTCCAGCAACATTCTTGCTCTCCTTGACAATACTCAAGATGCTAACACTCCATCTTTAAGCCTTCTGCAAAGCAAACTGATTTTTTAAAAAGAGAAAGGAATGTGAACCAATATTCAAACTACCTTAATTTTAGAAACCAAAAGTAAATCAGAATTCTGCGTGTCACGTGATCACCTGCAAATTGAGCACATAAGATGACAGCAACACACCAGTATCACTGAAATGTCTTATCTTCCTCCAAAATCCATCTGAAAAAAATTTAGATAGATCACTATTTTAAATGCCAGGGTTTATACTTGACAAAACTGAAATCATTCAGATTAGACATGGGTCCTAGATGCTATGAAAATGGTAATTATGAGGAGAGAAAAATGGAAACTGATCTCACAATGTCTCCGTGTACCTTCTCTATGAAGTGTAAGATGATGTACTTGTGTGACTCTTGTCCTCTTCATAAACTAAGAACTATGGCATAAGATCAATGTACCAAACATTCAATATCATTTATATCTACTTTAGCCTACAATAGCCAAGAAAATGTTAAAATGATGAGAGTGAAGAGAAAAATTTGATACTGAAATTCCTCCATTTAAAGAACCAAATAAATAGGTTGAGCTGCAGTGAATGCCCACCCTCATCAGATAGAGTAATGCTGGAAAATAAAAGGCAACAGTTTCACACAATTCACAGGTATCAATTAGATACAAACCTTAAATCTGTTGTAATAAAAATAAACGCTAAATACATGTGAATATATATATATATATTATACACACACACTCTCTTAATTCTTCTCTATACATCCCATCAAATGGGAACTATCAGATGTAATTATAACGAAGCAAATTAAGTTAAAAACACTATATAAAAAATTAAACAATGGTCACAACTTTAAATTTCTTTCAGTAATGTGTGGGGAAAAACAATCATACACTTGCCTCCTTCAAAAAGACTTCTTTCTTTCAATTAGACCCTCTGGATTTTTAGAAGTTGTTGGATTAACAGTCATCCAAGCATACAAGTAAAACAATCGTATATTTGTGACACATTGTTTGAAAAAAAAAAAGTCATGTTTCATGTTAAGTGCAATAATTAAGTTTATGATCCTTACCAAGCAATTTTTACAAAATGTTTATTCTCTTAAATCCAATGCATTCACAAGGTGTTAACACTTTAAATGTTTATCATTTCCACCAACTGCAGCATTATCTATGAAAACCAAAATGAGCACTTTATCATAGATGTAGTCAATGATTATTAACACTTTTTTCTTTTTTTTTTAAAAAAAAGGACCTAAACTTCCCCCAATGTCAGAACAGGTAGTTTTATTGTATGTTTCATCTAGTAGATGATTTTTAAAAATAGTGTGTAGAAATGAGTAGTTTTAAATTGTGTAAATATATACCATGTTATTGATTCACCAAATTAAAAGCAATTATCAAGATGAATAAGTTACAAAGAAACAATTCTGTCTTGTACAGAAATGTGCAGTGTTTTCAAAGCTCTTAACATTTACCCACTAATACAAATCTCCAAAGCTTAACTTAGAGTTGCAAGATGAGTTTCACAGTAATGTAATTTTAACCTCCATTTACATTCATTTTAATATATTACTAAGATGTTTACTCTATGTCACAATGGTGCTTTCCAGTGTTCACAATTTACAGTTTCAATTTGTACATATGTAATTCACTAACATAAGGGACAGTTCTTACTATTATAAACTATCCCTAACAAAAAAGAAAGAAAAAAAAAATCCCACCATACATAGAACTCTGAACATGGTATGACATCTTAAAACAGATTAATGAAACATGGTTTTATTATTTTACCCATTTTCTAAATACCAGCATGTAAACTTGCCTATAATATGAGAACTGTAATTTCACTCACTGAGAAATTATGCATTAATACTCTTCAACCATCTTTTCCTTTAAAAGTCAAATGACTTCCAGGTTCTGTTTCTGTGGATTTCAAACTGGATTTCTTAAATTTAGGGGGGAGGGATAAAGGGGGGGGGGAAGAAAGTGATAAATATACTGTAAACAGAAAAAAGATCCCCCCAAATTAAGCCTTTACAATTTTTTTTTTTTTACTTCTACACTATTTAACACTTTTAAGAGTCAGTTATAATGTTTCATCTTTAACACTAACACAAATAAATTATGGTGCGGTTGGTCTACCCTATTGCTCTTAAACCTAAAATTCTAAGTATATGAACAAAAGAGTAAAAATACTTCAATGTTCAACTCAGAAATTTTTAACAGTTATATGATTTGACTAGACTAGTCAAAGCAGTTAGAAACATACAATTCAGTAGATGGTTGGTTATTTTGATTGGGGGGGTATAGTCAAAGAAAAAGTAATTAAGTACCAAAAAAATTTGTGTTTCTCATTTTGGTAGGGGGAATCACCAAGTAGTTTAAATCTCAAAAGTCCCTATCCACTCAGATCTAAGACAAAATTTTCATTTTTTTGATAACCCCCATTCTTTTCATAAGTATCAAGCTGATAGTCATTTCTCCAAGTACAATCAGAGTTTAACAGCTTCTTGTTGAATGAAATATTAGTAAGGTCAAAAAGACGACTAAATCTCAATGTGAAAAGAAAAATCTACTCAAGTATTACATTCAGTTTTCAAATCATTTACTAACATGACAACAGATTTGGCTTCAATCACTCTTGCACACACTCACACCCACAACAGGCACCCAGCCACTGATCTGCTTTGCAACGCAAGGCCATATAGTCAGAGATGGCATTCTCCAAGCCAAACTTTAAATAGATTAAAAAAAGTAATTTCTAATTTTACAGAAATGCTTCTTCAAAAAATATTTTCTCTCACTCCCTCATCTCCTATACAGAAGGATGTATAATGTACTTTCTTTTTTTTCCAAGCTATATCTGAACTTTCAAAATTGATTCCAGGCAGAAAATTCTCTGCAAATTAAAATCAAAAACAAAAATAGAAAAATTATATTTTATATATGTATATATATATGTGTGTATATATATATTTATACTGATTGGAATCATCCAGCATTTTAAAATCACTTTAGAGATGAATTTTGGGATCCTACTGCTCATCACTCCAAAATCCATGCTGATTTAAGGACGAACTTTCTCCTGTTTCCTTCCTGGCTATACCCTCCCCTCCAAAATAGTTCAATATAGCCACGGCTCAAGTTTAATGGGAAGAGAGAGAAGTTTTTGAATAGTTTTCTTTTTTTGTTTTTACTTTGGTGATCTGGGTGGCACATATTGCTCTTTGCCATTACGTCGAGTTACTCCCTGAGGTATAGCCCTATGGCTAAACTGGCGTCTCTGTTCCCTGATTTTTCCAGCTGCTCCCCTGGGAATGGTATTGCCTCGTGAGCCAGAATAATCCTTGCTAGCCCTTGGTTCTGGCTTCTCATGTGGTTTCTCAATGGACTTCTCAGGAGCTGCATTCTCTTCATTTTTGGTGGGAGACACTACATTGGCGCGAAGTTCCCGTAGTGGCTGCACAACTGGAGATGGCTCTTTAGGGGGCTTCTGGCACACTTCAGCATAACTTAATTTTCGGGGTTCCTTTGAAGTGGTGATAAAAAAAAACAAACAAAAAAATTATGACAGACATTCTCTAATGAAGTACAAAAAGCAAAGCATACATTATTTTCTAGGAAAGGACAAAAGGCACTCTCATATGTACTGCTATTACAGTATGCTGGTAAAAAAAAAAAACCACTTAAATAATAGTATTTTCTGAAAATAACTAAAAGCCTTAGCAATTTGTGATAAAATTTCACTACAAAAGTTTATCTTAAGTCTATTCATGTCAACATCTTATACTGATAAGAAAAATGTCTCTCTTATACTGATGAAAAAGTTGGAAACAACCTTAATGCCTACAAGGAAGGACAAATTAACTTACTAATGGCATCTTCATAAGATGAAATAAAATGACTTTGCTCTTTCTTTCTATGTCAAGAGAAGGATTAGCAGGTGGCGTGGTGGTTAAGGCGCTGGACACTCCCACATGGCTAACTAGTTTGAGCATCATACCTGGTGACTTGCTCTCTCTCACTTTCCCTCTCTCTCTCTGTGTCTCCCTCTGGTCAAATTAAAATAAATGAATGAATAAATAATAATTAAATAATTCTTGAAAAGAAGAAATGCCAATTGAAAATCTGAAAGAATCTTGACAAACAAGTTAGAAACTAAAGATGACTAAGACTTAGGTACATATCTGAAAATAGAGAAAAAACTGAGGTGTTGTGAAAATAGAATAAAGCACAGTAAGGCTTTATACAGTTGGCCCTCAAGTGGTAGCTCTTTTCTATTATTATTGTTATCATTAAATGAGAACAGAAAGTGCTCTTAACCTATAAAAAGGAAAGAGTTGTACTAAAATGCTACTATTTATATCACTGAATTAAAAGACTATAGGTAAATTTTCTATTGTATTTTCTGTTTTTCTGTATTTTCTCCATTATAAAATTATGAAACAATCCTGGAATGTGAATACAAATAAAATGATCCTACGGTGGATTTCACAGACTTATTACATCATACATACAACAAATATAAGAAACACACTGGGTGCACATGCATGCCCCAAATCCAGAAAGGATGGGAAAATGAAGAAAGGATGGCAGTATGAACATGCTTGACTGGCAGACACTCTCTCCCTCTCTGTAGCATTCTGGTGACTGCATGCACCCTCTTGCAATTAAAAAAAAAAACAATTTAAAAACAAAAAGCCAACTCATAACATGATGTGCAAGGCCTCTTTATGCTAGTCTCCCTGAAATAAATTCATCAACTGGATACAAAAAGCTTTGATTGACTATGATTTAGAAAGAAAGAAAGAAAGAAAGAAAGAAAGAAAGAAAGAAAGAAAGAAAGAAAGAAAGAAAGAAAGAAAGAAAGAAAAGGAAGGAAGGAAGGAAGGAAGGAAGGAAGGAAGGAAGGAAGGAAGAAAAGCAAAAAACCAGCAATCAAAAGAAACTGAAGAATGTTAACTCTTCACTCCCTCAATATGATTTAATTTTCCTATCTCTTTCACAATAATTTTAAACTCCTTTAGCTACATCCTGATGTAAGCAGCCCCAATTCAGACTCCCAAATGACTCTGAGATAGCAAAGCATTGTTAAAACTCTAGATTACCTGTAGGGTCACAGCTGCGGCTGCATTTATGTTACTATTACATGGTGAAGCAGTATTTGCTCTTGATGGCTTCACAGTACTTGGGGAAGAAACTGGTATAGTCATCTGGTTAAGAACATCCTTCTGAACAGTGGGATCCTCTATTACATCCTTTTCTTGGGGAGTTGTGCTAAGGAAAGAAAGAGCTTGACATTAGACTTAGGGTATGAAGGTACAGTTGAACAACTGAACAAAAGAAAAATGAATTAAGCATTTCGGATCTTCTATATCAAAATGTGTACCTTAATGCGGGAAGCTCAGCCGAGCATGGAGAACTAGCACTCATACTGAGCTGTTGGGCAGAAGTGCAATTGGTCTGCTCGTCCTCTGCAGGCACTGGACAACTACCTCGCAACTCTTCATTATCCTTCAGGTAAAAAATATTTCAAACTTAACACTTACACACAAAAGGATGTTCAAGATCACTACTTATCAAGAAAATGCCTATCAAAACCACTGAGAAACTACTTTATATCCACTGTAACAGCTATAATCAAAAGGTGGACAGTAACAAATGTTGATAATGATATGAAGATGTTGAAATACTCATACATTAAAGATGACAATATAAAGTGATGGAGCTGCTTTTAGAAAAACAATGTGGCAGAGCCTTAAACATTTAAACACAGAATTAACTTATGACACAATTCTAGCCCTAGCTATATGTATCCAAGAAAAACAAAAACCTATGTCTACACATTTTCATACAAATGTTCATAGAAGCATTACTCATAATAGTGAGAAAAAAAAAAAAAAACAGGGAAAAGTAGATGGATTTAAACATCCATCCGATGGTGAATGGATAAACAAAGTGTGGTAGGGGCTAGCAGGTAGTGTAGGTGGTTAAGGTGCTGGACTCACAAAGTCCAAATCACGCCTGGTCCGTATGTGCTCATGCCCAAAATCCCGAGAGGAGAATGGAGGAGAAGAGACTGTGGCATGGTAACTCCTGCCTGGGGCGTGAGTGTGTGTGTGTGTGTGTGTGTGTGTGTGTGTGTGATTTCTCACTTTCCCTATCTCTGATGAGCATGTGCAACCTGCAGTAAAAACCTAAAACAACAACAAAAAAACAAGAAACAACAACAAAAAAAACTGTTTGCAAAATAAAATATTATTTGCCAATAAAAAGAATGAAGTACTGACATGCTGAAATATAGATGAACTTAGATGACCCTAGATAAACCTAAGTAAAATAAGGAAGTCACAGAAAGAGAAATACTGGGGACCAGCAGATGGCATAATGGTTACATGACTGGAATCCCACACAGTCAACCAGTTTGAGTCCTGGAACAGGCAGCTTGAAACTCACACTGGGTGTATATGTGCATGTGTGCCCAAAACCTGGAGAGGAGAATGGAGGAAAAGGCATTTTGGTGTGGCCATCCCCCCCTGGGTGGGGTGATTTCTCACGTTCTGTCTCTCTCTCTCTGGCTAAAACATTCATCCTATAGCAAAAAAATCTCTTAAAAAAAATACTGTAAGATTGTATTATCTGAGGTACATATTCAGTTTATACAGAAATTAAATAGAAAGCAGGATGGGAGTTGCCAGGGGCTAATGAAAGAAGGAATATGAGGTACTTTTTTTTTAAATTTTTTGTTTTTGGAGAGGTTTTTACTACAGGGCATGTGCACTCACCAGAAAGACAGAAAACGAGAAATCATCCCCCAGTTGGGATGCCCATGCCACATCCCTTCTCCTCCACTCCCCTCTCAGGATCTTGGGCACACATGCACACATGCCTGGCATGAGTTTAAGTCACCGGGTCCGAAACTCAAATCACGGTCAGCTACATGGGAGTCCAGCAACATAGCCATTATGCCAGCTGCTGGTCCCTGAGGTACTTATTTAATGGTCAGAGTTTTTTTAATTTTTCAAGATAAAGACTTCTGTAGTCTAGTTGAACAACAATGAAAATGTATTTAACACTGCTGAATTGGACAAACATGACATGGTCAAGACGATGAAATTTATGTGTACTTTGCCAGAATTTACAGAAACAGTAGCAATGAAACAAATAAGCAAAAAGTAAAAATAAATGCCATGGAAATTAAAACTGATTGATGAAATAAAATCTTCAATAGATTTAGGAAGTAATATTCAGAAAAATTCAGGAAAGAACTATAGACAATAGAACAATAAAAATGAGGAAATCTCAAAACAAAAATATTAGAGGTTGAACTAGTAAAGTCTGATAATGAATTAGGGGAAAAAAAACAAACAAAAAACAGAAGAGAAAGAGATGTACAAAAAAATCCCGTACTAGGATGAAGGAATTATGATTCTAGATAGAGTGATCTGCAGGTGGTGTAATGGTTATGTCACTGGACTCACACATGGCTGACCATAGTTTGAGTCCTGGACCCGGAAGCTTGAAAATCAGGCTGGAAGCATGCACATGTGTGCCCAAGATCCCAAGAGGAGAATGGAGAAGAAGGGATTGCGATGTTGCCATACCCCCGGGGGTGATTTCTCACTTTCTATCTGTCTCTGTTTCTCCAACAAGTGCATGCATCTCATAACAAAAATCTCTTTCTCTCTCTCTTAATAAAGAAAAAAAAAACACACCTATGTTTATGAATACTCACACCCCATAGAAGGGTGAGTATCTCTCTCTCTCTGGTAAGCACATACAACTTACGATAATAAAAAAAGAAAGAAAGAAAGAAAGAAGAAAGTAAGGGGTAGAAAATGACAATGATCTGTGGGGACAAAAGGATTTTGGAAATGGATAAATCTACAGTCAAAACAAAATTGTAGGGGCCGGGAGGGGACATGGTGGTTAAGGGAGCTGGACTCCCACATGGCCAACTGCAGTTCGAGTCCCAAACCTGGAAGCTGGCTTTCTCACTTTCCCTATCTCTTTCTACTCTGTCCCTCTCAGGTCAACTTAAAAATAAATAAATAAAATAAATAGGGGCCAGCAGATGGTGTGGTGGCTAAGGGCGCTGGACTCCCACATGGCTGACAGCAGTTTGAGTCCTGGACCTGATGGCTTGCTTCCTCCCTTTCCTCCTCTCTCTCTCTCACGGTGTCCCTCTCTGATCAAATTAAACAAATAAATAATTAATTAATAAAAATAGAGTTAAATAAATGAATTAAAAAATGAATAGAAAAATATTAGAAAAAAGCTGGAGACCAGGTTTATCTGCACATAATGAGTGTGTATGTGTATTTATTTATTTATTGAGAATTATTTAACTTTGTTATTTATTTATTTAAATTTGACTAGAGAGGGACAGAGAGAGAGAGAGATAAAGAGAGAAAGCAAGCTGCCCAGTTCAGGACTTGAACCACCGTTGGCCATGTGGGAGTACAGTGCCCTCAACCACCAGTCACCTGTTCGCCCCCCCTTTTTTTTGGGGGGGAGTGATTTTTGCCATAGGCACATGCACTTATGGGAGAGACAAGAAAGCAAGAAATCAACCCCCAGGGGATGGACACAGTGCAGTCCCATCTCCTCCAGTGTCCTCTTGAGATTTTAGGCATGCACATACATGCACATGCACATACACCAGTGTGAATTTCAAGCTACTGGGTCAAGGATCTGGACCACAGTCAACTATATGAGAATCCAACCTTAACCACTATGCCACCTGCTGGGCCCGTGTATTGCTTTTTTGAGATCTATTCTCCAATATTTGGAAGACTGAATTTCTTTTTATTTTCTATTTATTAATTTTTATTTATTTATTTTTATTATTTTTTAAAAATTATTTTATTTATCACTTATTCACTCATTTATTTCAACTTGACCAGAGAGGGATTGAGAGAGTGAGTGAGCACAAGAGCAAGAGCGCAGCCACCAGGTCCAGGACTTGAACCGCAGTCAGCCATGTGGGAGTCCAGCACCCTTAATCACCAAGCCACCTGCCAGCCCCTATTTTTTATTTTTTTAAACTTTATCTATTTAGTTATTTATTTTAATTTGAACAGAAGAGAGGGAGGGAGAGCGAGAGAGAGAGAGAGAGAGAGGGAAGGAGGGAGGGAGAGAAAGTGAGAGTCTACAGCCCTTAACCACCATGCCAGCTGCCAGTCCCTAAAAGACTGAATTTCTAAGTTAGCTCAGAATTCATTTGTATCACTATTTAAGTGGAAATAACGCCTTCCACCTAGCTTGGATAAATAAGTTCTACCACGCTGATGTGAATAATAAAAAGACCTGTGAAAATCAATATATACTTCATTGGCTTTGAGCAACTTAATTATAAATCTTTTAAAAATCATTCTAGGGGTTGGCAGGTGGCGTGGTGCTTAAGGGCACTCGACCCCAACATGGCTGACCACAGTTCGTTTCCCGGACCTGGTGGCTTGCTTCTTGACTCACTCCCTCTCTCTCTTTCTCATTCTGTCCCTCTCTGGTCCAATTAAAAGTAAATAGTTAAATAAATAATGTTAAGTCAAATTAAAAAATAATAACAATAGTAAAGTTAAATAAAATAATTCTTTAAAAAAAAAAACAGCGTTCTATGCTGAAAACTCTATGAGTAAAAGCTATGAGATAAATACACATTTGTGAGGTCAGCAGATGGCACCAATGTTAAGGGTGACTAGATCTCACATGGCTGACTGCAGTTTCAAGTCTAGGACCTGGTGGCCTGAAAAACACTCAAGGCAAGTGGTCTGCATGCCCTAAATCCTAAGAGGCGAAGGGATTGCAGCATGGCTATCCACTCTGGGGAATGATTTCTCACTACTTCTCACCACCATCTCTCTCCAATGATTGCACAAGACCTATAGCAAACTAAAAAAAATTAGTAAAAAACAAAAACCACATGCATACACATCATATGCAGCTAAATCTTTAAATAAAACAAAGCCTTGCATGGTCCCAATACATTAAGAAAGAATCTAGTGGATATTAGAGTGTTTACCTTTTCTTTGTAGACACCTTTAACAACATCAGACATCCTATTTTCCAAAACGAGTTCGCCTGGCATTCTGGATGAACTTCCAGGTAAAGGAGGAAAATTTGAGGCTAGTAAGTCAAACTTTGGTGTTGGAGGCTTTGCTTCAGTAGTTGAAGGATGGGGTCTCTAAAAGACACAAATCAAACTGGTCACATGCCTATCTAATTCTCTAATCCTGTGCCATAGAAGCTGAATGCTGTAAGAAAACAAACAAAAATCTCTATCCTAGTAATAATAATTATTAATAATAACTCATAGACATGTCTCCCTATACATTTTTGGCTTCTCATCTGAGTGGAGCTCTCATCAGTTTTTATCAACCCCACTCATCTTTGGTCAGCTCCCTGCTGTTCGTTTAGCAAACTTTGCAATACTCCTTAAATCTTCTAACCAATTACATTATTCTTTCATTTCTAAAACTGTTATAGGCCCTGCCTAGTTGGTGCAGTCTGTATGTACTTGAAACCATGTGGCTGATTGTGGGTTCAGATTTCTGGGTGGGCCTGAAAACAGGGTCCACATATGTCCAAGATCCTGAGTAGCTTAAGGGCTGGGGATGAGATCTTATTGAGGGTGTTTCCCTTTCTCCCTTGCATGCATGCGCCCTATCATTAAAACAAGAAAAAATGATAGAAGAGAAAGAATTGAGATGACTACATCACATAGTGGATGCTTTCTTCCTTGCTTGCTTTCTCTCTCTGTCTAGCTAGCACACATGCCTTCTATTGAGATAACTACATCACACAGTGGATGCTTTCTTGCTTGCTTGCTTTCTCTCTGTCTAGCTAGCACACATGCCTTCTGCAAACTGAAATACAGATATTGGGGACCAGCACAGTTCGAGTATCCTGGTGGTTTAGGCACTAGACTCCCACGTGGCAAATGCAGTTAGGAACCCACTTAGCGGTTTGCTTTTCCGCTTTCCCTCCCTCCCCTTCGCCACCCCTCCAGTCTCCCTCTGATGAGCACATGTGTCCTACAGCAAATGGAAAAATATTAACAATGATAAATTTTAAAAAAGACTAAATTTAAATATATTTTATTGGACTGCTGAAAAAGTCATGACGTATTTTTCTACACAAAAATGAATTATGACTTTTCCACCGACCCAATATACACGTACTGCTAAATCCCCTTTCATTGTAAAAATAAAAGAAACCCATCTTGCCTAAATCTGCCATCATCATTTCTCCTCCCAGATAGTCTCAAAAGAGAAAACTATTCTTCCTTTACACAAAATATCTGAAATTCTATCTACCACTCTATATATCCTCTGACAAGCCTCTTACCTTCTACTCTCTTCTACTTCCTTACCTCCTTATTCAACATTCTACTAAAATTGTTTTGGCAAGTCACAAACACCTCCTACAATGCAAAATCTGAAAGACTAGTTGATTTTCCTGGCCTCACTACAGAATTTGGTGTATTAATCCTTCTTCCTGGGATTAACAAGTGGCATAATGATTACATGACTGGACTTCCACATGGTTGACCACAGTTCAAGTTGCTGACCAGGAGCCTCGAAACTCATGCCAGGTGCATGTGCGTGCATGCCCAAGATCCTGAGAGGAGGATGGAGAAGAAGGGACTGTAGCGTGGCCATTCCCCCTGGGTGGTGATTTCTAGCTTTCTGTCTCTGTCTCTCCAGCTAGTGCGTAAGCCCTATAGCAAAAATCTCTAGAGGTGAAACACCAAAGAAAAAAACTCCCCAAAAAAAAAAAAAAAAAAAAAAAAAAAAAAATTTGCTGTAAGGTGCGTGCACTCACCAGAGAAAACAGAGAGACAGAAAGCAATAAATCACCTCCCTCAGTGGGGATGGGTCATGCGACAATCCCTTCTCTTCTATTCTCCTCCAGGGATCTTGGGTATACACATACATGGGCCCAGCATGAGTTTTATGCCGCCAGGTCTAGGACTACAACAGCAGTCAGGGAACCAGCAGTTGGCGAAATGGCTATGTTGATGAACTCCCATGTAGTTGTCCGCAGTACGAGTCCTAAACTTACACTGAGCATGTGTGCATGCCCACCCAAGATCCGCAGAGCAGAAGGGATTGCAGCGTGGCCATCCCCCATGGGGGGGGGGGGAGTGATTTCTCGCTTTCTGTCTCTCTGTTGAGTGCATGCACCCTAGAGCAAAAACCTCTCCAAAAAACAAAAAGTACAGCAGTTGGCTATGTGGGAGTCCACTAAGTACTACACTATCTACTAGCCCCAGGAAATTAATTTTTTTCCTTAGCTTCCACGTGATACCTCTTTCTCATAGTTTGCACAGCTAATAATACTATTCTTTCTCTACCCCTTTCTGAAGAAAGTTGAGTCATTTTTATTTTCTATGTATTTTATTTATCATCATTACTATTCTTATTTCTTAATTTGTTATAGGGCACATGCATTCACCAGGCCAGGGAGGCTGGGAAGGCAAGAAAGAAAGTAAGTCGCCAGGTCCGGGATTTGAACCACAGTTAGCCATGTAAGAGCCCAGCATCCTAACCAAAAGGCCACCTGCTGGCCACCATTTTTTACTTCTATTCAGTTAGCACTCTTTCACTTTCCGTATTTTCCTTAGTAATGTCCATTTGCTGTGGCTTGAACTACAACACCTATATGCAAACTATTGTTTTTTCTTTTTAATTTTGCCACATGGTTGTGTGCTCACCAGACAGACAGAAACAGAGAAAGGAAAACAAGAGTGCATCGTCCTCCATGGGGAATGCTTATAATGCAATCCTTTCCATTTTCTTCTCCTTTTGGGATTTTTTAGCACATTAACACATGCACCTAGCATTTTTTTCAAGTCAATGAGTTGGGGACTTGAAGCACACAGAGAGCCAAGGTGATCTAGCCACCTTAATCACCAGGCTATGGCCCGCATGCCCAAACTCCTGAGAGGTGAAGAGAAAAGAGACTGCAGTGTGGGAATCCCCCTGGAGGGTCATTTCTCATTACTCGCCCTCTGTCCCATTATGTCTCTTTAGCAACACATCCTGCGGCAAGTTAAAAATATAAAAATAAATACAATAAATGGTAAAAAATTGGGCTGGCCCTGTGGCCTGGTGGTTAAGGGAGCCAGGTCCCACATGGTTGACCTTATATTTCAAATCCTGAACGACAGATTCAAAACCATGTTGGGTATATGTGCATCCATTCCTCAAATCTTAGCAGGATAGAGAAATGGAGGCTAAGGGTCTATGGAAAGACCATTCCCCATTAGAGGGTGCTTTCTCTCTGTTTCTCTGGTAAATGCACATGTCCTCTGAAATTAAAAAATAAACTATAGGTGGGAACCAGCAGTTAGCGTAATGGCTATGTGGCTGGACTCCCACATGGTCGACTGTGGTTCGTGTCCCGGACCCGGTGGCTTAAAACTCACGCCAGGCGCGTGTGCATGCGTGCCCAAGATCCCGAGAGGAGAATGGAGGAGAAGGGATTGCGGCGTGACCATCCCCCCTGGG